GGCGCCCGCGCGTCCGCGCCCCCCGCGGGACCCCGGCCCGCCGCACCTGGCTAGCTCCGGCGCGCGGGCACGGGCGGGGTCCCGGCGGCGCGCTCGGCCCCGGGGTCCCTGCCCTGCGAGGCGCCGGCGCGCGGGGCTCACCCTGCGAGCGGGCGTCGGGCGGCGTGACGTGCGCGGCGCGGCGACGTGACGTGGGCGGCGGGCCGGCTCCCGCAGCGCGCCTGCGCGCCTTTTCGCGCCTTCGCCTCCCTCCTCCTCCTCCTCCTCCTCCTCCTCCCGCCGGTGCGGCCCGCGCGCCCCGAGGGGGATGGGCTGCGCGCGCGCGCGGGTGCGGGTGCGCGTGCGCGCCGGGCGGGGACGGAGGCGGAAGGTCTGGCGCCGGGAGGCGGGGGTGCGCGCGCACTTGGAGAGGGGCCGGAGGTGCGCGCACACCTGGAAAGGGGCCACAGGTGTGCAACGTGCCGGTGTGCGCGCACACTTGGGCAAGGGCGGGCGGAGTGTACGTGACGGTGTGCGTGCACACTCTGAGGGACCAGACGTGTGCGCGCACCTGGGGAAGGGCCGGGAGTGTGCTAGTGCCGGTGTGCGTGCACACTCCGAGAGGGAGCAGAGGTGTGCAGCCGTGGGGGGAGGGGGCAAGTGCTTGGGCGCGGGTATACGCAAGGGAGAGGGGCCAGGTGTGTGCATGTGCTCATACATGAGTGTGTGGGTGTGTGTTCGTGCAGGCGGAAGGAGGGTAGGTCTTGTGCGCACAGGCGTTTATGCGGAGAGGGGGTTGGAGGTATGCACGTGCAGGCGTGCGTGTCCTTGGAGGAGAGGGCAGAGGTGTGTGCACACTTGGATGGAGGCCTGCTGCGTGCGTGTGTGGCTATACACACATGGAGGAAGAAAAGCAGGTGTGCACACGTGAAGAGGTGGTGTGTGTACACACGTGTGCAAGTGTACTTGTGGAAGAGAAAGGCAGGCTGGGTTTGTGCAGTGAGCGTGTTTGCCCATGCGCAAGAGTAGGTGAGCGGAGAAGATGGGGTGTGCATGCACACAGCGCCGCAGGCCCCGTCCACCTGGGGGGCCAGCAGGCTCCGTGTCTACACCCAGCCTACGCCTGATTCCTGCCTGCCTGCAGGTGGGCACTCAGGAGGAAAATCAGGCAGCCAGTTGGCTCCCCGGCACTGGGTGGGCCTAGCGGACCCTGAGCCGGGAGTCGCCTCTTCCCTGGAGCCCACCCCACAGGCTAGATCCCAGCAGAGGGCGGGCTGGAGTCCAGAGTTCAGGGCTGCGAGGCCGTGAGCCGAGAGGAGCAGAGCGAAGGCCTCTCCGCTGTGAGGGCGGCTGTTCTCTTACACCCCAGCACGGCTCACGTCCACTCCTGCTTCTCTGCCAACCGGCCGCTTCTGCGAACACCGGACTCCACGCAGGTTTCGTGGAGACGCCAGAAACATGCACCTTCTTTGAGCAGATTAGCACAGAATGAGCCTCAAGGAAAGGTGGACGATGAAGGTCATGAGGGAGAAGCAAAATCCTGCACATTCCTGCCTGCAGAATGGTCTTATTTCTCTGCTGGTGAAGTTCTTGGCCCCTTAGCAGGCCCCTGGGGAGTCAGAACCTGCACCCTTCATGTTGTCCCTCCAGGGGTCACCTGTCCTAGCTCCATTCTCCTCGGACGGTATCACTTTACTCTGTACCGTGTTTGCATCCTCGCCCCCAAGCAGCAGCGGAAAACCCAACTCCCAGCCCGTGGACCCAAGCACGCAGGGCGGCAAGCCTCTCCGGAAGGAGCAGATCACAGCACAGAGCCCCAACCCTCCCCGTGACCTCAGCATTCCAGGAACTCCGGGGCACCTGAGGGGCTCAGGCCACAGTCCTGGGGTCCTGGGATCGAGTACCGCATCAGGCTTCTTGCTCCATGGGAAGCCTGCTTCTCCCTCTGCCTCCTTGTGACCTCCCTGTCAAATAAATAAATAAAACTAATCTAAAAAATAAAATGGTTCCAGTAATTCAACAACATTCGCACCGGGTAAACTACCCGAAGGTTTTAAGCAACATCGCACAGACCTCACTGAGGTGAAACCCGCGGAAGGCGCGAGGGCTACGGCCACGGGCAGTGGCTCCAGGAGCTCTGGCTCACGTGGGAAAAGGGCAGAGTTGGCTGGGATTTTTATTTTTTGACTCTCTATAATCAAACACACCACAGAACCCTCATTTCTGTGTTAAAAGGTAGCAGAATTTCTAAAATTTTTGGTTGAAGATCAAATCCCTTCGACTGCTGCCCTGCCTTGAAGCCGCTAGACTGGACATTAGAAATGCGGCCCCGGTGAGCAGCGAGCCTGCGCGCCCCTCTCCCGGCTGAGCCTCAAGCGCACACTCCGCATGCACAGCATGGGTTCAGGGTGTTGGCCCGTCCCCATCTCAGTGGCTGGCATTCAGCCCTGTGTGGTCACCCACCATACTCCTCTGTTTATTTGAACAAAGTGATTAGATCTTCCCAGGAAAGGTCCACATCTCCCCAAAACTCCTTCTTTCCTTGTGGCCCTGCCCTGTTGAGTCTCACAGGGTGATACAAATCCTTACGCCCACACCCCCACCCCGTTAAACTGTCCTTTAAAGAGAGAATGTGTTCTAATCCCTTGAAAACTGGAATTCTAAGTCTTTATTTAAAGTATCCGATTTGCCCTTGGTTCCCTCCTTGAAGACACTGGTCCTGTCTCCAGGCTTCCTGTTTTCCACCTTCTTGGGTCACAATATGGTGACATCAAGACGTGGGAAAACAGGGATGGGGACAGGGGCTCGAAGTTATTACAGGAGAATGTTCCTAATGTGTATAGGGGACATTTTCTTTGCTGAAATTCACAGGCATTTTTAGAAAACTTGGTTCCGTTTATTTGTGGGTTCATAAAATATCAGTAAGTCCGTGGGCTTGCTCAGCCTCAGGATGAACCCCCGGCCCTCTCCAGAGAGGTCACCTCTCTTAAGCCCCACTGGCAGAGGAAGGCTGCAGCCCTCACCCCGCCTCCTAGACCCATGGAGACGTCCTTCCTCTTCCTTACATCAGGATTCATTTTGGAAAATTTCTGGTCCAGTTTCTTGGAAAGAGGGCCTGTCCTGGACCCTCTTATGTGCCAGGCTCCCAGCACTTGCCTCTTACGAGACCTGCATGATGCATGATCGTTCGCAGGTGGAAGCCACAGCCCTTTGGAAAGCACTTCTCTGAGCTGACAAATTCTAGACCGAAGCTGATCTCACCAGCCTGTTTACTGTGTTTACTGTTCAGACCCTTTTCTTTACTTACCCTTTGCCCGCACTGCCCACTGGCCTCTGCAATGCATAAACCCCCCTCGGTCTTTGCCATTTCACAGCACAGCCCTTCTGAAAGCCTGCTCCTGGGGGACCTCACCGCCCTGGCTAAGACGGCAACAAAACTATTTTCTACAAAATCCTACAATGTGACGTGGAAATACCCATGTTGTTCTTACAGTGTGTCCTTCCCCCATAGGATCCGGTTACCGTCACGGGGAGGGAACGCACTGGGCCCTACACCCTGGGTTCTGGGAAACTTGACTTTATGTACAACTGAATGCCTCTGCTCCCTTCTCTGCTACCTGTCTGCTGATGTTATAGGTTCCAAGAGGGACCCCACGGCCCACCTGCTACAATGAAGTGGACACAGAGAGAAGTCAAATGCCCTTGGATAAGTAATCTCAGCCTCTCTGATGCCCCCATTCAGCAGAGAAACAGAATTCTTTGATTAGAAGGCAAATCCCAGTCTCGCAAGTTTTACCTTTCCTGCATTCCTCCCAAACTCTGAGCGCTGACACAGCACCGAGGACTGAGAGAGGGGACCGCGACACAAGACGAGCAGATCTGCAGATGATCTGGGCTCAGAAGCAGCACGCAGGGGCCAGGGAAGGTGGGCAGCAGCCCCACCATGCCAACTGCCTCGGGGACCAGACAGTTAAACCAGAATTGCTGTTCTAGAGTCAGAATGGTGTACAGAAGCCTGGGGTGGGTGGGCTTCCTGCAGTGCCCTAGCTTCGCCCCTGCCAGTCGTTAACGAGAGCGATTTCCCCCACGTAAGGAGTTACTTCTGACAGCAGCTTCCCAAATGCAAGTGTCTGCGGCAGGCGGCTGTTCTAGAAGCTGCTGAGGGTCCACCGGAGTAGGGAAGAGCAGGGTCACACCCCAGTGCCCAAATCCAGGGTGTGGGGCCAGGGCAAGGGAGAGGCAGGTGCAGGCAGCTGGGGCAGGAGGACTGGACACAGGACAGTTTGGGGGAAGCGTCTCTGGCAGTGGCGCTCCAGGCCGGGCAGCAGGAGGCGAGCCGCCACTAGGCCAGTGAGCGTGCCCTCTTCGCCGCTGCTCCCGAAAACCTCCCGCACCACACGTACCTGATCTTTCTCCAATCGAGGTTTGCCATCCTGTAGCTAGACCACAGATTCCTTTGGGGAAAACCATGTAAGTTCTTGGCTTCAGGGTGTCTGGGGGGTTCAGTCGGTGAAGCGTCTGCCTTCAGCTCAGGTCATGATCTCCATGTCCTGGGGTCGAGCCCCACATCGGGCTCCCTGCCCAGCGGGGAGCCTGCTTCTCCCCCTCCCTCTCCCTGCTGCTCCCCCTGCTCATGCTCTCCTCTCTTGCTCTGTCTCAAATAAATAAATATAACCTTTAAAAAAATTAAAATAAATTCTTGGCTTCACGGACACCCTCCTAAGCCACTGGTGGGAGGTTGGAGCAGCCCAACTTCTTAGTAGGGCAACTGGGTGCTGGGACTACTCTTTACAATGTCATTTGAGACAACAATCATGAACTCATGACTCTGCCCCCAAACCCGCTCCTCCGTCCAGCATCCCCCGTGCAGGAAACAACTCTGTCCTCCCAGTTGTTCATACTAGAAAGAAGTCAAATACCTCACGTGCTCCCAGCAACAAACACCAGTCACCAATGTGGCGCATCTTGAATTCGTCTCCTCTTCCCCATCTCCTCGGCCACTCCCTGGCCTCACGACTGTCATCTTCGTGGAGGACTTCGAAATAACTCTTGTTCCTTCCTCCAATCTTGTCCCACTCGGATCTCTTATCTCGTCAGCAGCCAGAGTGATATGTTAGAAGTGGAGATCATGCTACTTCCTCCTTAAAATTTTTCAGTTTACAACCTGCCTTTG